AGAAAAAACAACAAGATGGTAGTAATGCAATCCCCTGTCACAATAATAGACGTTGCAGAGAATGAAAATAAAGGAAAAGCTACAATGCCAAATTCAAGAACAAAAGAAAGAAGCAAAAATGCTGGGAAAACAAGTAAGTGCTTGGAAAAGGCAAAGAAATCTCATTTACAATTTTGCGCATCAGTGTATTTGGTAATTAACACCATTTTGATATATATATATATATATTATTAAAATTTGTAAAATATTTCTACCATTTGTCAATTCAAATGGTTGTCATGTGTGAATGATGGATTTATATATTTTTTGTCACTCTAAATCTATATATGTTATTTGTTATCCCGTGCAAAATATGTGCTACAATACTAGTTATATTAACAATGACTACTTGTTTTGCTAATAATCCTACAAGGCTTAGAGAGGCATGGCGGGAAAGTTGTTGTGGATGGCAGAAGCAACAAACCTGAAACAAGTAAGGATGATGATGAGAATGAAATTTTCAAATATGGAGTAGTTCCACGCCCCATTGATCCTTACTTTGTGGCAAAGATTCGGGCAAAAAGGTCAAATGACTTGGTAAGATTTGCATGCATGATAATATAAACAACACTTCTATATTTTTACATTCAAATAGCTCAGATTTATTTTTTAAAATAGAATAAACTTTTTACTTTTGGAAAAGTGCTTCTGAAAAAAGTTTATACAAATGGGCTTTGATTTCTTTGCTTTATATTGTAGTACATTCCCAAGAATGTGATAAGAGATCATCAGCTCAGACTCCCAGAGACTCTAAAGTTGATTGATGAACAGGGCAAGACATGGAAGTCAAAGATCCGCATGTGGAGTGATGGTCGGACATGGCTTTATGATGGGTGGAGAGATTTTTGCCATTCAAATAATTTGAATGATGAAGATCGGTGCATATGTGAGTTCAAGCAAGGGAGGGACGGATTGGGAATTCACATGAAGGTAACCATTTTCCGAGTTGGGTCATGGCTGCCTACCCAAACATAGTCATGAGAGAGCCTCTTTCATCAGCCTAATCTTGTAAAAGTACTTACAAGTGATTGATAGTTTATTGGTCTAATGGCATCTCTTCCAGATTTAAGTGCTAAAGATCTTGATCGTGGGGTATTGAGCTATTTGTATTACTAAAAAAATGCTTTATTCTAATTATTGACCTTCCATTTCTTAGTGTTTTTTTTTTTTTTTTTTTTTATGTATCTAAGGAGAAAATGGCCAATGACTTGTGAACAATTCTTCCCACTTTGGATCCACAACAACCTGATTAATGCAATTTTCTTTTTTAAACTGGAATTAAATTTAAGTTAAAAATTTAAAAGATGCTGGATGCACAAAAATTGCACATGTGATACTAAGTCATATCATCAACCTAAGCTTATGAAAATATTTGTGTAATTTATTTTAATTATGGATTTTAGATTTGATAGAGCTGTTTTTTATTTAAATTAATTTTATTTGTCTAACCAGAACATCAAACTTCACATTTGCTTTGAAATTTGATAATTTAGAGGAGCATCAAATTTTTTTTCACTCTCTGATCTTATTATATAAGTATGATCTTTTTCACTTTTTGGATCATATAAAGTTTTATGTATATACATAAATGGTCACAGCTTCCTGTATATTTTTGTTATGATTTTTGCTTTGTTGTCTTAAAAAAACAAGGTGTTGATTTCTGATGTTGTAAGTTGTTTAAGTTCCTGGGTAAGAAATAAAACTATGAGACACAACACAGATGAATCCATGTTATAGTTCTTTATGCTCTCCTTTGCTGTGATAAGTAGAGATGTTAAATTTTGGTCTTTGATGGATGTGAAGAATTTGCTGGTTACTTTGGCAAAAAATAATGAAAATCAAGATTTTTTTAAATGCCTTTAGGTAGCGTTCAAACTTCTAATTGGTTGGAAATCAAGCCCAAAACTAGTAAGTAGATGGTATATAAGGTTTCACGAGTCATGTCAATGCATTTGCATGGTTCTATGCCTCTCACCTTTCTTTTATTTCTCTTGTTTATCTCTCATAAATCTAGGTTGATTATGTTGAAGCATGTCAATTTTTGTATTTTCTTCCTATGTCACTTTTATATCTTTAACTACTTTCTCATTTTTTTAATAGGAAAATTTACAGAACCTTTGAAAAAGGATAAGATAGACATTAAGCATAAATTCACATCTTCAGTACCTTATATTAATCAACACCATTTTTGTCCATTGTAGAACATGATCTTTCTTTTGTGAATACCTAGCAAGCTTAGATAGGAAAAAAGAACAATTATTTACAGAGATGAATGTAGTAGAGAAAAAAAAAAAAAAACAGAGACAGGGAAGGAAGAAAAGGAAAATGGGTGGAAGGAAGTAGAAAAGGAGAGGAGGAAACTTGAATTGTCTTCTTTAAGAAAATGAATAAAAGATCGTCACACTGAAAAGTTTAAAGAGCACTCACAAATTGCTAAGATAAGTACTAAATGTAAGTTCACATTTTGAATTCTTAGTATTACGTTAATTAGCACATTTTTTGCACATTGTGTTGATTAGCACCATTTTTGCACACCCTACAAGAAATGTTAGAATTTCCTAAAGACCTTTTCTGATGGCCAACATTTCGTTGGATTTTCATTTTCTGTGAATAATATGATTTCGTCAAAAAAATGGTGGCAATTGTGCACCAATGAAGAAAAAAATTAATATATATAGAGGATGAAGGTGATGAAATTTTTAAGTGTGGAGTAATTTTCTAACATGAATATTCTTATGTTGTGACCAAAATGGAGCAAAGAGGCCCAACAAACTTCATAAGACTCGTGTTTCCTTGTATTTTATAACATCCCTAGGTTTATTAATAATGACCAACTAGTTGAAAATCAAATAAAGCATTTTTGAGATATAAACAATTAATTATTTAGTATTTATTATATTGTTAGGATTGTTTTTGTTTTACCCATTTAGACAATTATCATAAAAATAATAACTAAAAGTACAAGCACAAGCACCAAAAATTTTTATGTGAAAATAAAAAAAGAGAAGAATTATGAAACACTAGTCTACCTAAAATCCTCGCCATGGTTTGATAACTAAGCCAATTAACCACACCAACCAAACAAACTGCACCAAACCAGAACCACTAACCCCATAGCACAGACAAACTATAAACAAACAGCTCTAAGTAATCATAATTAGACCAAAACAATCCTATAAATCCGAATTATTTGTGAGAGGAATTTCTAAAATAAAGGAAAGACTCAATTCCACATCGAATGTTTATAAAATATAAAAAGATTTTATATATAAAAAATCTATCTCTTATATTAAAACTTGTTACAATGGAACTATGCCACATAAACCATGAGCACGCTTGTGACAGGGGTGCATTTGGCACTTGGGCATATATGTGTGTGGAAATTACAAATGATTAAAATATATTATTTTAATTATTTTATTTTTCACAGTTATCTGGTATTGCAGTTGAAAGTTATTAGTTTTAAAAGTTTCTAATTGTTGAAGACAATTTCTAATTCTTGAAAATAGTTTATGACTATTGGAAGATTGTCTATAAAAAGAAAAATTTATACTCTGCCAAGCAAGATTATTTTTGTACAACAAAATCATTCCTACATTTCTTTGTTGTGCAAAAAGAAATTTAGTAAATTATTATTTCGTAAAATCCTATTGTTATTGTTGGCTTGAATTTGGTAGTGTAAAACAAATCAAGTATTCTTCATATATCCAATAGAAAATTCGTTTGTATCCATTTATAGGCAGGATTTTGTATTGATGGTAGCAAATTAAATCTTAAGAAAAGTGTTTAATATGATTTAAAGGTTTTATACAATTTCAATTTATATATACTCTTTTCCCTAACACTATTCACATTATAAGAATTCTCAACTTCCTTCACCCAATAGAAACCAAATCATAACCCCACAAACTTATATATTTAGCATAGTAAACTGAACTTGAGGTAGAAGCAATCCATGGAGGGAAAAATAATGGAAGGAAATACCGAGGATTGAAAAACTTTAAAGTTGGGATAAGAAAAAGCTCAACAACACAAAAATATAAGAAGCCAATCTCAAATTAACTTGATTTGTGAATGTCGCACAATGGTTATTTTGGAACTTTAATGAGGACACATAATTGTTAAAATATATATTTTTATAAAATGAGATTACAAATACTTGCATGTGTCATTTTCTTTTAGTGGTTATTAAAATATAAAAATTCTCTTTGCATAAGTTATGCATTCTCTACTCATTTTTCTAACCCAAAGAAAAAAGAAAATTCATATAAATTTCCGCTTGGGCTCTTTGATAATGCGCTTAAGGCTTTTCCTTTGTACTTTGTTGGTGGCAAAATGTATTTAGGAATTCCAGAAAAGGGGAAAATAGAAAATGTAAAGTGCTTATTTTAGACTTATGGAAGCCACAAGCATCTTTTTTCTCTTGGCCAGCATTAAAAGTTCCTTTTTCTTTGTCATCCAATTTGCTTATCACATTATCCATCGCCTCCCATCCCTCTGTCACATGGACAATCCCACATCAAATAGGAAAAATGAGAGTCATGATCTTATAAATATAGACGCTACATACCCTACTAGATTAACTTTTTGGGAAAAGAGTAATGGCCTATGACAAGTAGTATTAGAGCTAATGTAGACCTGACTTCGATGTCTCGCCAAGTGCCTGAGGTAGGATAGGCAAGGAGCCCCATCTATGACGAAGCATTATAGGATTGGGTGGGAGAGAATGTTACAAGGATAACCCCACATCGGATACAAAAAGAGAGAGTCCTGAACTTATAATCATGGACGTTACATACCCTAATAGGTTAACATTTTTAGGAGAGAATAATAGCCCGTGACACCTTGCCCCACACAAATCCCTTACATTTTATTCCCTATCTCTGTACTCTCATTGTTCACTCTCATTGTCCCTCTCTTGATTCTTACGTAAATCCACCCTTGTTTTGGGTCAAATTCCGATGGCAATGACGTTGGCTGCCCTATCTCTGGCGACCATTGCGTCCGCTACCAGCCGTCCTTCACAACAGAGCAAAATTGACATGAGGTTCATCAGCGAGCTCAACTCCTTTGAGAGGCTCAAGGCCCACAACAGTGTGGCAGCCTTGGGACTTCCCGTTTCGATTGAATGGTCTTTCGCGAAGGTCATTAGCTCCCTGAGATTGCCGCTGCAGGGAGACGGTGGAGCTTTGTCTTCCACCTGCAAAGCCATAGGCAAGATATTCAGGATTGCCGCCATTATGAATGGGCTTGTTCTAATCGGAGTTGCAGTAAGCTTCATGCTTCTGCCAATAGAGGCATCCCTTGAGGAATCTAAGTGAGAAGTTGAATGATTCGATGATTGTTCTTGTTATATGGAGATTGGATTGGACAATTTGTGAATTTCTTCATTTGGTTTTAGAACTCTATCATTTTTGGCTTCTTTAAGCAAGCTTTGTAGTGGGTTTATCTCATAAATTTGTAATTATCTTGAATAGTAAATTAATTGTTAGATATATCCACTTTTACTTTCATTTTTATTTCTAATTTTAGATAGAATTATAAGGTTATAGCCCTTATCATCCCTCTGTTAATTTTTGTTTCATGATCGATCTTGATGCATTCGAGAACCAACCACGCCCAGATTATTCAAGGCCATGTGTTTCGATGACATCGAAAAATCCAACTCCAATGAGATTGAAGTGTGATCATTGGCTATGTAACAACCCAACTCACACAAGTAATAATAAACAGAACTTCTCAGCGAACAGGGGAGCAACAGGCCAAACTTATCATGAACTAGGAAAGTTATCCCACAGAGGAAGAAGGGGATACACCCTTCACCAAGACAATAATCTCTGTTGCTAACAACAAATAGTCGAAATTACCAACAACTCTCCATTCTGCAAAACCCTATTTTACACAAAAGACCACTCCTTTAGACAAGAGTTGACATGGTTGGATTTTTTACACTATTTTTATAAAATTTATATTGTACTATTTTTTTTATACATTAAAATGAAAATCCTACTTTTTAATATTGGTATTATTACCTTTGGTTTTATCAGATTTTGATTCAGTATAGTACGGTTTTATGATTATTTTATATTTTCAAGATAATCGATAACTTTAACCTAACAACCGCACATAAGTTTTAAAATTTTTTATTAAAGTAAGACTTATAATTATAAACCTAGTTTGATAAATTTGCCTATATGATAATTTATGAGCAACTTTCAAACAAATTATTATTATTATTATGCCACAAGAATATTTGAAAATTTATTTTTCTACAAAGTAATTTAATTCTTTTAAATTAAGAAATTCCTTTTTAAAACAATCATGGCTAATGTCCTAAGAAAGGAACATACTTGAGAGCAATATTTGTCATTATCTATTAATTAATTTGTGCACTTGTAAGTGATTTAAAATTTGTACAGCATAAAGTTAGGGTTTTGGCTTTGCACAAACCAAAAAGGTGAAGAAGTATAATCAGCCTAAGCATCTAAAATAAACACCAATTAGAGAAAGGTGAAATTGTTTTAGAAGTGAAAAATTAGGGTTCTAGTCTATAATAATATCTTCTTACACTTAAGTCTATCAGTCTTATTGCTTTACTCATATTTGTCTTTACGATTTCTAATTTCTTTGAATTTATCTTGACAAGTTTATATTATTTCAATTTAATCCTTAAAAGATAACATAAAAATTCAATAATTTGGGGTTTTAATCATTTTATGGATAATATAAGTATTTTTTTTAAATATTATATGCATATGTGGAGAAAATTTTATTAAAATCCTATTATGTAGTAGAGATTTCCAATGTAAGAGTGAAACATGGGAAAATAAATGTATATTGTTTTTTTTTTCTTTCTTCTTTTTCTTGCATCAAGTTATTGTTGCATCTCAACATCATTTTGTAAGACTCGGCCCGATTTATCTTAATAAGTTTTCTGATTTACATATTTATATGTCTTCTTATATACGTAATGTTTTAAAAAGAAATAAAATGTATATTTCATCTACAAAGTGCAAGATTTATGATGTAACACCAAGTTATTTATGAATGCTTCATGTTCTCATGTCATGTTGTAATTATTGCAACAAATCACTGTCAATCCCAAGGTGTTGTTCATTTTTCCATTTCTCACTCACCTTCTTGACTTCTATGCTCCATTTGTTCTCATCTTTCTTTAGATTGACCTATGTTTATTCAATACTTTTCACACAGAGAGTTGCATGAAAGATGAAAGACCTACCTAAATTTTTTCAAGGTTTTCTTACTAGATTGGAGCTCATAAAGACTTGTACACATAATTATGTCTTATATATACATAGCTTTTATCTCATGACATTGTTTAAAATGCACACTTTGTTTTGACTTCTACATATATATATATATATATATTGGTAGCTTCTTCCTTATACATACACAGTGCAATACAAAGGATCACTACCAAAAACAAGATTTTCTCAAGAATTCTTGAGGCAGAATTTGGCTTGTGCAGCTAACTTATTTTACAGGCAATTGGGCTAAGTTTGCTCAATAAGGAGACTTGTAAATTTTTAAATTTGATGGATATTCAATCTTTGATTTTAAATTACTTGTAATTGTATGGGATGTGAGAAGAAAGTGTTGCCACCTATAGGCATAAAAAAAGAGGTGATGGAGATGGAGTATGAGGAAGAGGAAGAGGATGTGGAAGAAGTAGGAAAGAAGGAAGAAACACTTGAAGTGCCAATTTCAAAGAAGAAAGGCAAGAAAGGACTTAAGGAAAAATCCAATAACTACTTGAAAAAGGAAAAGATCAAATTCATATTACTAATTCTCTATCTTATATTAATTGGCACCATTTATTATATGTGTGTGGCATGATCACAATCTTTTACCAATACTAGTAGGCTTAGATGGGCGTGAAGGAAGAAGTGCTTTCAAAGATGATGGCAAAAGAAAAAATACCAAGAAAGTAGTGACACAGTCTCTCATCACAAGAATAGAGGTTGAGGACAAAGAAAATGAGGGAAAAGCTAAAAGGCCAAATTCAATAATGAAAGAAAGTAGAGGAAATGCTGGGAAAACAAATGTCTGCTTAGAAAAGGCAATGAAATCTTGTTTACATTTTTGGGCATCAATCTATTTAGTAATGAATGCCATTTACATACATACATACATACATATATAAATATATATATATATCAATGTGTATTTTAAAATTGGTAAAATATTTCTACCATTTGTCCATTCAAATTGTTATCATGTATAAGTGATGTGATTATATATCTTTTGTCATACTAAATCTATATATACTACTTGTTATCTCGTGCACAATATGTGCTATAATACTATTTTTGTATTAATATAGCTATTTGTTTCGCTATAAGAAAACAAGGATTTATCATCATTGAAACTTGATGCAAAAGGAATAACTTTTGTTGCAAATTAAATTTGCAACAAAAATAAATTTTTTGCAATGTTGTTGCTAATTGTGTTGTTACAAAAAGTTATTGCAACAGAGCTGGTGTAACTAATATTATTGCAAAATGGAAGTCATTTTGCAACAATTAATTTTGTTACTTATTATTTGTAACAAAAAATGTCTTGCAAAATGTAAGTCATTTTGCAACAATTGATTTTGTTACTTATTATTTGAAACAAAAAATATCTTGTTGCAGATTGGAAGCCATTTTGCAACAATAAATTTTGTTACTTATTATTTACAACAAAAAAATGTATTGTTGCAAAATAAAATAATTGAATTTCAAATATTATAAATATATAAAATATTTTGCATCAATTAAGTTTTTTGTTAGCTGTTTTTTTTTGCAACAATATTTATTGTTGCTCAGCCTAATCATTTTATTACAAATGTTATAAAATATGAAAATTATTTGCAACAATATTTATTGTTATGTAACTAAATATTTAAATCCAACAATTATAAATTTATGAAAGTAATTTGCAACAATTCATTTTTTGTTATTGTGTAACAATATTTATTGTTACAGAACCTAATTTATTAATTTCAATCATTACAAATTTATAAAAATAAATTTTAGTAATTTCAACAGTCCAATAAATAAATCAGTATTCAATAAAATAAATATTGATAATAATTTGCTCCACAATCCAATAAATAAATGTTTTTACTAACTATTTAAAACAATGAGACAATTCCCAAAAATTAAGAAATCCTTTAAACTATTACTAGACACCCTAAAAAAATTTTACAAACTCAATTCATATTCGACCATTAACTCCAAACCAATTAACTCTAAGCCATCACTATTTAAACAAGTTATCTGTCACGTCTCATGCATACTAGTTTTTCTTTTTTTTTTTTTTTTTTTCCAATGATGGGATGTCTTTACACAAAAAAATAATAATAATTATATGAGATATATAAAAATAATTAATACAATATATTAATATATAGTATCTTACTTTGTCATGACAAAGAGTCTTAAATGTTTTGCGACCAGTAATATGAGAGACCATATGCTTATTCATATTCTCATTTCTTGAATTAATTACCTGTATTAAGTTAATCATATAATAATAATGTAATTAACCAACAATAAGGTTGTAATTTTTTATTTATACTTTTAAGTTTTGTGTCATTGTATTTGAAAGTCAAGTATTCCAAAGTAACTCACTAGATACTTCCACTGATCAAAGGAGGTATTTGTTGGCGAGCGTGCCAAGTGTAACATATTTCAAGTCTACAACTCATGTTTTCTTGCACATAAAGAAGATATGATGAGTCCACAAAAGAAAACAGACAACTATCCTTGTATGTATCTAATCAATTTCATTTTTTGGGAGAAAATGGGCTGTCATATCATGCTTTTGAATCTAATCTTCGGTCAAACTAAAAAGTAGGAATGTAACAGCTATTGAGAACCTTTAAGCATCAGGCTAAGAATGAGTGCCGAAGACTCCTACGATGCATCAAATGCAATTCTTCCCTTGCAAAAAGGGCAGGTTTTTTACCATGAAAGAAAAAGAAGATGCCAACTTAAGGGATCCTAAAGTCCATCTAACATCTGACGGAGAAATCATCCCAACCATCAAGTTCTAGATTACGAATACATTTCCTTCACCAACAATGGATATATAATAAGTAAACATATCCCTCCTGTTCCAACTTATAAGACCAATCCTCTCCTATCACAAAACAACGCCCCAGAATAACTATTAAATGAATGACAAGTGTTCATACTTGCCAAATAATAATGAAAGAAGAAAACCAAAACAAAGAAGAGCTTCATTCCACAAGCAGCTTAAACAGCCTGTAAAATTATATGGATAGCTTTCCCCTATGCATGACATAGTGGCCAAA